CTGATGTTCTTGAAAATTCTTCTTCAAGAAGTGTGGCGTGCCGGAGTTCAATGGGACGAAGAAATCGGCGATTCCTTGTACGAGAAGTGGGCCAGATGGTTGAAAGTGTTGCCGCAGGTGGAAAGCGTCAGAATACCACGGTGTCTTCGATCTTCGATGATCCCCAGTGACTGTAAAGTACAGCTACATATGTTCGTAGACGCCAGCGAAAACGGTATAGCCGCCGCCATGTTCCTCCGTTTCGAACACAATGGCGTCGTATGCTGCTCTTTAGTTGCAGCCAAGACAAGGGTGGCCCCCCTGAAGTTCCACTCCATCCCACGACTGGAACTGCAAGCAGCTCTCATAGGAGCAAGATTAGCAAGGTCGGTTACGCAAACCCTTCAGACTACGATACATCATGAATTCTTCTGGACCGACTCTCGTGATGTGCTCAGCTGGATCAATTCGGATCATCGACGATACAGCACGTACGTGGCACATCGTGTAAGTGAAATACTCGACGTTACAGAAGCGGAAGATTGGTTTTGGGTACCGACAAAACTAAACGTTGCAGATGATGGTACCAAGTGGGATACACAACCTGATCTTACTCCCGAATCCAGGTGGTTCAGAGGTCCCGATTTTCTCTACCGTAGCGAATCGGATTGGCCGAAAGTCTCGTCGAAGTCAGATCCTACAGACAACGAGTTACGACCCTCCTTCGTGGCACATCTCTCCTTGTCCGATCCTATGATTATCGTCTCGAAGTTCTCTAGCTGGAAGAAGCTCATCAATGTGGTTGCTTACGTTCACCGTTTTGTCGGAAACTGCCGTCGAAGGAGTACAAACAAGCCAGCTGAAAATGGACCGCTATCTAGAGACGAACTGTATGCTGCTGAAGGTTTTCTGTTTCGCCTAGCTCAACTAGAAGGTTATGCCGATGAAGTAGCCTTCTTCTTGAACAACCGCAGTGATACACCAGATAGAACCCTTCCTAAAAGCAGCCGTTTATACAAGCTGACACCCTGGTTAGACGATCGCAGCGTAATGCGAATGCGGAGTAGAATAGCCGCCTGTCAGTACGCCACCGAAGAAACGAAGAACCCAGTGATCCTTCCTAACGACCACACTGTTACCTCCCTGTTAATCGCCCACTACCACGAAAAATTCCACCATCAAAACCACGAAGCCATAGTGAACGAACTTCGTCAAAAGTACGTCATTCCTCGCATTCGCGTTAAGTATGCGGCGACAAGGAAGGGCTGCCAGCGATGCAAAAACGAGTCCTCGATTCCACAACCTCCAATCATGGCGGACCTCCCAGCGGAACGGCTAGCTGCTTTCACACGCCCTTTCACTCATGTCGGCGTTGACTACTTCGGTCCCATGGAAGTTGTTATCGGAAGAAGAACGGAGAAAAGATGGGGAATGATCGTCACCTGTCTTACGACACGGGCGATCCATATAGAGTTGGCCAACTCGCTAAGCACCAGCTCATGTATAATTGCTCTTAGAAGTTTCATGGGCCGACGCGGAACTCCAAGGACTATTCGGAGCGACCGGGGTACCAATTTCATTGGCGCCAGCCGTGAACTCAAGAACCTGCAAGAAGCAGTCGACTACGAACAGGTTATGAAGGAATTCGTAACCACGGAGACGAGCTGGACCTTCAACCCACCTCTGGCTCCCCATATGGGTGGCAGTTGGGAGCGGCTAATCCGGAGCCTGAAGAAAAATCTGATGGCCATCTGCCCTTCAAGGAAGCCATCCGAAGAAGTGCTGAGGAGCCTACTCACGGAAGTTGAAAGCACGCTGAACTCCCGACCACTCACTCACGTGCCTATCGATAACGAGTCGTCACCTGCACTCACACCGAACCACTTTCTTCTGGGGTCGTCGGATGGCTCGAAACCGTTTACCTCGCTGGATGACAGTGGCGCCCTTCTCAAACAAAACTGGCGTACATCACAAGCGCTGGCCAATCAGTTTTGGAAGCGCTGGCTATCGGACTATCTCCCGGACATTACAAGACGGACGAAATGGTTCGTCGATTCGAAGCCGATTGACCGAGGCGACGTGGTGATCATCGTGGACTCCAACCTGCCCCGGAATTCTTGGCCGAAAGGTAGAGTCATCGCAACGCAACCAGGCAAAGATGGTCGAATCAGGTCAGCTACAGTAAGGACATCGACCGGCATATACGATCGCCCTGTGGCCAAACTGGCGGTCCTGGATGTTCGACGCGGAGAGGAGCAAGCCGACCAGACGTCCGGCTTACCTGGGGGGAGTGTTGGCCATCCCTAGTTGGCTGCGCATCTCCACAATCCAGCAGGCCCCTCGTTTGATCGAGCGAAAGCAACCCTGGCATGCGATCGCCTGTGACGGCTAAATGACAACGAGAATTTGGTAGGTCTATCATCGATCGGGGTAAGTGTCAGATGAGGAAAACAAAGACTATAAAGCCAAGAAAGTACACAAAGCCGTGCGGTGTAAAAGTTTTGCTTAATACTAAATTATATATAGTTTGATTTAAAAGTTATCAATATTACTATTATTTGAACTTACATTACTACCTAATCTAGTGAGTATAATTAAATTTAATAGAACCTATAACTATCCTAAACCTAAATTAATAGCTTTTAGGGTACTACTGCTAAATAGTGCTACTATCTAACCTAAAAACTAGCCTACAAAGTTGGAATCGCGGTAAGGAAATAAATAAAAGAATTTCTTCTAAATCTAAACAATACAAATATTACAGCTTGCAGCCAGTACTCTCAAAACAGATAAAATAAAACAACTACAGAAAGGGGACTAAACGTGAGTAAAACACTAACAGCTAAAGTTTACACCGATACCGACCACATACATACAATAAAATTAATACCGAACACACTTATAGATATAGACAAACTACCTTATAACAAACTATGTAACCTATTTACAGGAAAATTATAATATCTCTACGAACTCCTAAATTCTGGGTTCTGATATTAAATTTACGGAAGAAATCCCTGCCCACCTGTTGCCTCTCGCAACACATATTTAATATGGAATTTATAGTTTGGAATCAAATGACCATATCCTGGTCCAGATTATCCGGGGAACCAGAATGTGGTCACTATACCCCAAAATATAGTTTCCATATTAAATACGCTTTGATCTCTTGATTCTGAACAAACATAGAAAAAATCGCAAGATTCTAGGATATTTTTTATAATGTGGCCACTTTATCGGTCAATCCAGATTATCCGGAGAACCAGAATATGGCCACTATATCCCAAAATATAGTTTCCATATTAAATACGCTTTGATCTCTTGATTCTGAACAACATAGAAAAATCACATGGTTCTAGGACATTTTTATAATGTGGCCACTTTATCGGTCGTTCCGGGTCCTCCTTTAGGTCAGCAGAGTTTCCCTGAGGGCGTATATGGTGTCTTTACACCATATATACTTAGGACTATCGATTTCCAGTAATATACGTTAAGTAAAGTGAAAAATTATGTCGATAGATAGTGGCATTTCCTACTTTACCGGGAACTCGGGTTGATCCCGGCCCTCTATCATGGTACGCAAAAGTCTCCAGCTTATGAAACCACCACCAATCGATTCAGCAGAATTTTTCCTTTGAGAATATGTATAAGATGTTGAAACCGTTTGGCAGGCGAGATATACAATTTTGTCGCGGTTTTGTCAATTTTTGCCCAGTGTGCAGTGGTAAGCGGATCCTTCGGAATGCAGATTCAACGGCTGACCAATGTGGTTCCAGTGGAACCGTAATACCCCAGACAGACTATGGCTTATATCATGTAATATAGGCTGTCTTGCAATGAGCACTCATACATCTAGTTTTCACTGGAAATCCTATATATGAGTGCTGATTGCAAGACAGCCTATATTACATGATATAAGCCATGGTCTGTCCAGGGTATAACACACTTGTCCGGACACGATGGTTATGTCAGATGCTGTGTCAAGCTGTAAACGAATTGGGGCTCCATTTAGATTCACCCACACGTAACATCGCTTGCACTCAACGCTGCTGACGATATTTGGGCTGCGAGTGAACACCTTTCGTTGTCTTTTCAGTCGGTATGGCTGTCCATCACTTCATCGAAAATCCAGTCCGGATGCGACCCACCGGACTTCTGGAACACACGAAAACCAGCTTGATGATTTCCCTTTTTGTCACGGTTTTGGAGCTCTGACAGTCATCCGCTAAACAGCCCTCCGCGGAATTAAAATTATGAGGTCTACGGCCTTGGCTGGTTTTCTAACACTGGAAGAACGATGAAATGATTTTTCTGGCAAGGTTTAGAGACACCTGTCACACACCACACCAGATAGTTCAGGATCTGATACCTTATATCAAGTTAGGTAAGTAGGTAGATTAAAAAATTACCAAATTAAAATCAAATATGCTGCATTCAAGGGAGATGTAAGGTGGATGTACGCTTAAGGTGAAAGAATGAGTAGTGAGTAAATAAAAAAAAATAACATAAATGGTTTTCTCTGAGACATCACTTCAGATTGCAAAAGCTCTCGTCGATGTTTTCATTTTTATATTTCACACAAAACAACGAGAGCTTTTTCCAATCTGGTGATGTCTCAGAGAAAACTATTTTTGATCACTTTCACCTTAAACCACATGTCCAACTTTATTTATGGGTGAAGAAACCGGCCCTAAATAATTGAAACCCAACCAAATAAAAAAACAACAACAACAATGTAACAAATCAATGGAAACAAAACTTAATTTTACTATGGTTACAGTACGAAAGAAATCGTAACAAAACCATTGAAATAAACACCTTGAACGCGACAAAGCAACGTTCTTTCTTCTCCTCTCGACCGATATTAACCAAATGTTGTCAGTGCACAAGTCGGATGGATGCTTTCGCAGAGGATTCCATGGCGCGGACACCAACCGTATAAGGACGTGGTTGATGTACCGCTACATTGTTTTGCGATGCGATATCAATATTTTGTTCCTGCTGTGTGGGCGTCAACTTACCTTCATCCGCTCAAACAGCGCATCGATCAGTCGAATGCTCTCCAGCTTCCTTTGCGTTTCCATCAGCTTTCGTTCCTCCTGCAGTATCTTCAGGCTGATCTCATCCGTTTCCCGCTGCCGCAGCTTCTGCAAGTGTTTCTCCTTACGTCGTTGCTCCCGTTGCAAACGTTTCACGTCCTGCGTTTTGCGCAGTTCCTCTTGGCGCTTTCTGTGGAATATACAAGTGGCATCCATACAGAACTCTGATCGTTGCTGATACCGACGACGACAGATTCCTCGCAAACTTTGCACTTCTTCGTTTTATCTCACTGCACTTTTCAGTTGGTAAGAATGTGAATTCTATCTAGATTTGGCACAACGGCTGTTGGAAAAGTTCTACTGGAAAGGGGAGATCAAAGCAAAGACGATCGAAGCTTCCGAACCCGAACCCGGTCACTGGTCGGTGGAAGCTAAGACATCTTATACTTCCAGACATTGCAATTCAGTAGTAGGCAAGTACTTCAAATTTTACACTAGAGAAAAGAGAAACATGAAAAACAGAATATTGGTCAGATTCAAACCTCTCGCGTTCTTTCTTGGCATCCTCCTCGGCTGTGCGTTTCTTCTCCAGATCTTCCTTCTCACGATCGGCCGCAATCAGTCGGTCCCGGACGATTTTGCGCTTCTTGATAGATGAATCACTCAAGTGCTTCGTACGATCGAAATCAACCGAAATGGACACGGACAAATTCTTGTCCACTTCCTTACGCACCAAATTCATCCCACGAAACTCATCCATCGCTTTCACGAAGCCAACATATTCACTAAACTGGACATACCTGCATAAAATTAAAACGTGTTGTGATTCAAGACTTAAACAAAATAAACTAGTAACCCACCCCTCGAAGTACATCTCCTGATCGAAGCTAAACTTTTGCATGCCCGACATGTGCGCCTTCATTTGCGACCTATACGGATCACAGATAGGAATGTCTACACATCGTACATCGCCGAACTTCTCAAATATTCTCTTGAAAATACTCTCGCTTGGCTTGGCATTGTCTTCATTCTCCATGTGTCGCGGACACAACCACTTTATCGGTAGATTCGCAAAGTGGATCGTGTCCGGACGTTCTCCGGCTTTCATCTCGTCCATGTTCCGAGCATCGCGAAAGAACGAATCCCAATCGTGTCGGGTCGGGAAATCGTCTTTTGCCTCCGAAGCTCGCAGCTTCACCGTTTCGCTAAATCCCGGCAATCGAATAGGACGCCCATCTAGCCGTCCCAGCACATGGCGCAATTTGCTTCGATCCTCCAGCTCGCCTTCGAACCGGATCAGACCAACGGTACTCTTGGAAACCTGCGACAAAGATCGAACCTGTTGATAATCTATCAATCCTGCTCCTGATACTACCGATATACAGAGGCTCAACAAGCCACTTACCTTCAACACAGAGAACTTGTCCGGCAGTATCATCTGACGCATCTTTTCCATAACTTCATAGTTGGAGATGGTTTTGCCAGTGATGGCATTCGGCAAAGCCACCGACACATTGAATCTGGCCGACGGTTTAAGATACAGGCTATGCGGCAAGTACAGCGGCACACAGTCACTGACATCCTGGATGGTTTGTATCATTTTTTTTTTTTCAATTCACAGATTGTTTTTGTTTTTTTCGCACAATTTCAGATCATAGTTCGATCACATAGTCCAACGAATGAAGTTCGATTAGACCCCGTCGAATTAAACACCCCAGGGAGAGCAATGAAATAAAAAGCAAAACAAATTAGCAAAACCACAGATAGATATACACCCGAAATGTACGCGAGTATTTCCTGTAAAAATCAAAGCACTGCCAGATCCCCTGCGCCGAAACGGTACAGTTGGAATGTACCACTTCCACCAAGTCACAAGTGCGGCGGAAGGCGTAGTCCAAGCCCCTCGATGAACCGCAATCGCTACACTGCCGTTTATTCCTTAGAACTCGCTATGAACTCCCGCAGTCACTCTATATTTTATAAGCACTGTTCCACCTTGAGCCAGACGTTGAAGAATCGGTTGAGCCAGAATTTTGCGTAATTCGCGTTCCCACTAAGTCCACTAATCCACCAAATGGTTCAGAGCCTTAATTAATCATTCGCTTCAAGATGGTGAAAAATTCCTTGCTCCGTTCCGCACACGCACCGCTTTTATTTTTTCTCAAACGATTTTTGACAGCTGAAAATGCGGATTTTCATGGGTGTTCGACTTTACTTGGTCATTTTTATCAGATTTAAATCATTGGTATTAAAGCACTCTAAAAAATATTACAACTCAAAAAGATTAAAATTTATTAATTATAAGTTTTTGCGGTTCGATTAAGGTGATTCCTCGTAGAATCCACAAATGGCTATACATGCACTTCCACTTCGAATTTTCAATTTCACAAATCTCGGAAATTAATACTTCATGTATGCTGCAGCTCGTGCTGCAGTACAGCAAACGTGAAGTAACAGTTTCAATGTGGTATACGTTTCGAGGAAGCTGCTATTTGTGCCGAGGGGTTATCAACTTCGTAAGCCAGCTGAATTCAAAATACACATTTCGAAAAATACTCAAAAAAATCATAAAAATACGTAAATGTGTACACGTTAAAACTCAAATACCATAAATAAAATACTCGAAAATAATTCAAAAATAAATTATAAACGAAAAATGCATTTCATAAAAAATTTAATACACTTTAATACAAAAATACACAAAATTTAAAAATACCTAAATACAGAAAAATGCAAAGTACACCTTTTCAATTCGGGTAGATGAATCAAAAATACTCAAGTTGACAGCCCCGCGATTTGCGCACTTAAAGTTTCGAAGTGGCTACGAGAATAAGGATCTCACAGCGAAACTCATTAAAATATTCTTTCAAAACGACACTAAATTCACATAAAGGAAAGCATAAAGGTGCAAAATTCTACCAGTGTATACCACTGATATGATAGGCTAAGCAAAATAAACCAATCTCGGAAGATCGGTGATAAAGTTTTGAAGTGAGTTGTCCCACAGCTGTCTACAGCAGCAGTCGATTTTTTATTTCGGTGTGAACCACGCGATAGCCTGTTTTCGAGACTCGCTATTATATACCCTAATAAACAAATACCATAAGCGAACTGTATCCCGGATGGGTAAACTATCCCACAAATGGTTTGGATGATACCCCGAACACGTCGTTAAGCTCTTTTATGGTTATTTTTATTAGGGTACACACAAAGAACAAAAATTGTTCCTACACACAAAAAATTATCATTGATAATATTAAAAAAACCGTTGGTAGAAATAAAAGTTTGCATTGGTTCTTTTTGGTAGAAAGTACTTAACTTTCGACACGAAAGTCAGCCAACTGTCAAATCAAAAGTTTAACATATTATTAATTTTAAAAGTTGAAACTTTCAAATCGAATTGTAGAACTGTCAAACTGAAAACCTAATCCTTTTAGATTGACGTTGGAAAAGTGTTGCTTCAAAACACGGGTATTTCTTCGCAATTTGTATAAGTTTTCATCTCAATTACAAATTATTTTTAAATTAATTGCTTTTATGATGCATGCAGAAAATAATAAATATTTATTTTTATGTAAGTAAATTCTTAATATACATAATTTTATGTTTCATTAACATGTTGTTGAATGTTGTTTGGAAAAAATCTAACTCAGTATCGGAACAGATATTAGTCTTCGGCGGATAATGAAGGTTTCCTACGAGGTTCCAACGTGCAGCGGACTTGGTCCAACGAAAGTGCATCTTGCTTTCGTTGATGGCCGACAATAAGCATCAAGCCGGGTATGGATCGGGCGATCGGGCGTCTGAATTTTACCAGTAGGAAAGAACGGAGTCTCTAATCCCTATTGATAGCCACCAAAAACGTCTCGGCTGTGTGCTCCAACGTCCCAAGATGCTTTCGATCTGAAAAATTATCAATTTGATTTTCAAAATCATCCTCGAAATATGTAGACAGTAGTAGCAATCTTACATTCTGCGAAAAACTCAATCTTTTTCACTGCCTCCGGTACCGGAATCGGTTCCTCCGGTTTGGAATTTCGGAAGTGTACGATGCACAATTGATTTTCTGCAGTCTAGTATCTTACCTTATATGCCCTATTAGATTTTTGGACAATGACAATGAGCTTTTCAGGAGGTCATTTTGACATTTGTACAATTTTTGTTTTAAAAATGTGAACTTTTAAAATTACGTGTCGATAGTCAAATAAAAACTTTCAAATCATAGAAAATAAATTCACTTGGAATATTTTCGTAGTTGAAACTACCAAATTCGAGAAACTTTTAATTTGAATTGGTAACATTTTTATAGATACCATTTTTGTTTTTTGTGTGTATAAAAATAATGAAACTTCAATTTAAAACAAGGGGTTAGTCACTCTACACAGTGTGCCAAAATCAAACTTGGGCACACCCGGGCGAAGTCATTGGTGCTGTTTGGCACCCATGGTTACAATTTTTATGATCTTTAAAGTTACTGGCAATACTGAACTTTTTCTGCGCTTGCAGTGTGCATGTGTCAAAATTTCTTATTGATGTTGCCACAATATAATCAAATTACTTTCAAAACAACCGTGAATCTCCACCAAGTCTCGTCATGGATTCTCAAAACCGTTACACCCGTGATGGCAGTCGCATCCACATTTCCTCCCAGACGAAGAACAGCTGACATCGGTATCTTGACCTGAACAAGGTTTCCGGTCATGGCTACACTAACTAGCGATGCAGCTCCCACGGCTGCGGCTGCTTCCAATGCTGCTGATGGTCCGTCTTTTTTGGCGAATTTTACAGGAGACGAACCAGCAGAAGGATCAGCAGCAGCAGCAGCATTGGAAGCAGCCGCGGGAGTTGCATCGCTAATTCGTATAGCCGTTGTCGACGATGGAAATGTCGGTCGGTCTCGACAAGCGGTGTTTGAGATTCAATCGGAAAGTCAACAACCATACAAAAACTATACCATCCGACCATTCAAACTGCTCGAATACATCCATGGCGGTGGCTGCTACACCCGAGGCTACACCAACGATTCCATCATTCAACGTATAATGTTGGAGGACCAGGGGTGAAGCACTAAATACACTAGTGTAACGAAATTGTTGATTGTATAGTATGCGAAAAATAAAGTCAAATCACAGACAAACAGACGTAACTCTTTGAATAAGTTTTACTTGAAAACATTGTACCGGTGAGCAGTTCGCTCAAATGATAATATTCAAATCAATCATTAAACGCATGAACGATGATACAAAATGAAGAGCTACGTCTGTTTGTCTGTGGTTAAATATTATTCATACCTTCCGCACTCTTCAGTGGAAGATTAATATCTTCACAGCTGTCGTTTTGTCTGCCGCCAGAGATACCTTGAGTGTTCTCATGTTTGTTATCAGGGCTGTCCTCCTGGATGTCCTCCAAAAATTCGACAGAATCTAAAAGATAACGAAAATAAAACAGCGAGAATAGAATGTCTTTTTTTTCTCAAGATACGCTTATAAACGGATAAACTTACATTCGATGACACTCGGATCTTCATCAGCTTCGTTTGAAATGGACGACCCTGTAGACGACTCAAGCTGAACATAACTCTTGCTTGGGATCTTGTTCTCAATATCATCCGCCTCCAAAAGCACCTTCGGAGGAGATGAAATTTCTGGACTGACAGCATCAGAAGCACGCCGTTTGGAGAGTATGGACGCAACCAAATCCGAGCCACTAGGATGCTTCAGGGCAACATGCCACGTAAAACTATATATATTCCAGTTCCAGTTACCAGCAGCATCAGCGGTTGCTGAGAGCTTAGTATTTTTTCCGGAAAAAGTACACAACGGACAAGTAATTTCCGCTCGGTATTGTTCCTGGCAACGGTACACAGCAATCATCAAGTTCGACATGAAGTATTGGTGATCGAAGTGATATTTCCTACGAAACAGAAAATTAAAATTTAAATGCAAAGGTTACAACTACATTAGCTTGGATTTTAGAATGATCAGGACCAAGTGTCACATTACTGAAGTCGGTCAAAATACCTTTTTGGAACAAGCTTGGTACAAGTAGTGCATTCTAAATTCGCTAATTTCATTTTAATTTCACCCTTCTGTATACTTACGGATTGGTGAAATGGGCTCCAATCTTCATTTGGAGTTTTTCCTTGTGGCCATCAAATTCATCGTCTTGTTCCTCGGCGGACCCAAGATGCATTCGCGCCCTGATTCGCACTTTTTTACGTGCTTTCAAAAACGGGCTAATGCCATTTGTTCGCACAATATCCGCAAGATCCAGAATGCACAAGATCTCTCCCTCCATGAAACTAAACTCATGTGGTCGATCCGCGTATCTCCCATACAAACTTTCGAGAGATGGTCCACCAATGACTGCCTTCTCTGCCACGTCCTGTGCCATCTCTCGCATATCTCTCTGAATGAGCAATATTTCTTCCCTGGTCAGCCTTGCTAATGACATGCTGACCAGGTTCGATAACTGCAGTATAGACTTGATGTGAAGACTTACGTTACCATACACTGCTTCGATTTTCATCCAGAAATAATCCTGGAAATTTGTTGTGTGTTAAATTTATTTTCAAAAAAGCTGAATAAAAGCTTACCTCATCCATTTCTAAAAAAATCAACACGGATGGACGGACGGGTTTTGTTCTGCTGGTGTCCTGGCTGGTGTAAAATAATTCAGTCTCAGGTTCACCTTGCTTGTTTTATAATTTTATTGTAAATAATTAAGTCTGGAGCAGAAAAAAACAGTTTCAGGCTTTTTCAGTGGAGTGAAAAGGTAAGGAAAAATCCATCATGTTTTACGAATATCAGTTGCTGTTTGCCAATAAGAGTAAAGAGTAACACATTCGTCGTAGATGCAAAGCTGCTGTTTATAAACATAACAATCGAATACTTGATCGAATGTAAACAGTCATGGAAGTGGTGCCAGAATTAATAGAAAATTCTGGTGGAAGTGTGTTTGGAGTGTGTCGAACTGTGTTTTTGGAGTGTTAAACACAAGGTGGCAGAGTGAGTTACCCCCTGGGATACGCGGTATATACAACAATCAATTCGAAACTAACGATTTGAAATTGGCTCACTATACTTGACTAGCCTATTGGTCCCAAGCAAATCGATTAACGTATTCCATTATAGTATAAACTCCAGTACTACACTATGTTTGTTTTGATTCGCTATGAAAGTTTGACAGATAAAATGAGGGGTTCGTGGATTTTCCAATGTTTCGAGGGGTGCATCGATTAGCTTGGGACCGGAGATTGTACTAGAGCTGAGCCAAAAAGTTGAGCTCGTTTCTTCGGGACCTTCTGGTCTTAGAGTTACCTCTATGGTATATATATGGATATGAAGAAGGAAATATATTTTATGATGGCAACAAAGATAAATGTTTTCTGTGCAAGGCGGATGATTAAACTTGATTATGATGATGATGGTCCCACCTCTTACCCCTACAAATGTTTGAGCTGGACGATTTATCTTTAAGATAATTAAATATGACATTTTAACCAGGTTGGCAAACAAAATCGAACTGGTTTCAGTTACAGATATAAATTCCCTTTAGAGTTTACAGTTGCTTCACAGCGATATAAATGTGGAAAAGCTCAGGCGTCCACCTCTTAGTTCGCTTTTTTGCCAACCTAAAATATTCATAAGTATTACAAGCAATCAAGAGTTAATGAACAATCAACAAAGCATCCTATTACACTAGCAACCCCGCAATCTGATGCTATCATAATTTTCAGCAATGCCAGGAATGCTCACGAACCCCCAACATTTGCCAGAAAACTTACTACCAACCCAAGGTATCTTCCAAATCAGCTTCAAAATCGCAATTTTTTTTATCAAATGTTAAATTCAGTCTTCAATATCCGTAATACGCGCGCGAGGCTTAAACCTTTGTAGACTAAATTTTTTTTAATTAATCTACTATTAAATCAAATATTAAAAATCCATCATCACCCTCGTGGCGAACAGAAATAGTTTTTGCAGTGCTACAATAATTATTTAAAAGTCGTTATGACAGCTATCCATATAAAATAATCCGTTAAAAATAACTTCGTCAGTGATTAAACCCCGTATGAATAGTATGTGTGGTTACACATGAATTTTATGTCTACACATAAGAACTATGTGTCCAATTAATTCCATTAACTACTGCTTTAATTACATTAATTACACAATATATAACATTAACTACTTTCTAACTACTTAATTGCAGTTGAAACACAGTTCGTTTGGCTACATTATACTTTGCCTCCACTTATCTATGGAATCTACAGTATCTACACAGCAAAAAGCAGATACAATATTACATCAATGGATGTAATTTTGTTCGCAAAATCGATGTACCTACATCGTACAACGTTATAATACACAACCGATGGATTGACCTGGTTGCAGCAGTTTCGATGTAATATTCAACAACTTTTTTTTTGCTGTGTAGTAAACTCGAGTAAACTACTATAAGTGGTTTACTGAAAATTAGCTTATTGAACGGAACATGGGAGATGAGTGAAAAGAACTTAATTTTGGATAATTTTTCGGTTCCCTGTAAGGATTTTTTTTAGTGTGTTGTGTTTAGGACCTTTAAATTTCAGCATCGGGAAACATCAAAGTTGAAAATGACCAGATAACTTTTGTTCCTCGCTTTACTGAACGTACGCAGCCACCGTGCGGCATTTTGCACAAAAGAAGCGCCGATTCCCGGATAGTAGCAGTGGCATTCTGTGTAGGTCGGTAATTATTGTAAAATTTCGCTAAATTGGGTTGAATTTTCTTCCAAATTTTGGATGAAAGTGTAAATTGAGTGATCTTGAATCCTAAGACGATAAAGTAATCGTGAAAATTTTATTTTCTTACTATATATTTACAGCTGAAAGTATTCAATTTACAAGCGTGTCTGTGGCAATCTAGCCGTGAAGTAGCGACAGCGGAAAGTGCGGCAAGGATACATTTTCTGCCCATCTGCAAGCTTAACGATTTGGCGGGTGATTGCTCTGCTAGGAAGCAGACAGAAGCTTCTGTGACAATGGGTGATCGCGGTGATGGAGGTAGGCTTTCAGGTTTGAAATATTTGCGATTTTTTTTTAATGTTATTAAATTTTCTATTTCCCAGCTGAAGCATTCGACGATGCCGTGGAGGAGCGCGTCATCAACGAGGAGTATAAGGTGTGGAAGAAGAATACTCCGTTCCTGTACGATTTGGTAATGACTCATGCTCTCGAATGGCCCTCACTGACGGCGCAATGGTTGCCGGATGTAACCAAACCGGAGGGCAAGGATTACTCTGTCCATCGATTAATCCTGGGAACTCATACTTCCGACGAGCAGAACCATTTGCTGATTGCCAGTGTGCAGCTGCCGAACGAGGATGCCCAGTTCGATGCAAGCCACTACGACAATGAGAAGGGAGAGTTTGGAGGATTCGGTTCAGTGTCCGGTAAGATTGAGATTGAAATAAAAATCAATCACGAAGGAGAGGTCAATAGGGCTAGGTATATGCCGCAAAATCCTTGTGTCATTGCCACTAAAACACCATCCAGTGATGTACTGGTGTTTGATTATACGAAGCATCCGAGCAAACCGGAACCGAGTGGCGAATGCCATCCGGATCTGCGTTTACGCGGTCACCAGAAGGAGGGTTACGGATTGTCGTGGAATCCAAACTTGAACGGATATCTGCTGTCAGCTAGTGACGATCATACCATTTGCTTGTGGGATATCAATGCAACTCCTAAGGAGCATCGGATTATCGATGCCAAGAATATTTTCACTGGACATACGGCGGTCGTTGAGGATGTTGCATGGCATCTTCTACATGAATCACTGTTCGGTTCCGTTGCGGATGACCAGAAACTGATGATCTGGGATACCCGTTGTAATAATACGTCTAAACCATCGCATACAGTTGATGCACACACCGCCGAGGTGAACTGTCTCAGTTTCAATCCATATTCGGAGTTTATCCTGGCCACCGGTTCAGCGGACAAAACCGTTGCTCTTTGGGATCTCCGCAATCTGAAGCTCAAACTGCATTCATTCGAATCGCACAAGGACGAAATTTTCCAAGTCCAGTGGTCTCCGCATAATGAAACCATCCTGGCATCGTCGGGAACTGACCGGCGGTTGCACGTGTGGGACTTGTCCAAGATTGGCGAAGAACAGAGCGCCGAGGACACCGAGGACGGACCTCCGGAGCTCCTTTTCATCCACGGTGGTCACACGGCGAAGATTTCCGACTTCTCCTGGAATCCCAACGAACCGTGGGTCATTTGCTCGGTGTCGGAGGATAACATCATGCAGGTCTGGCAAATGGCGGAGAACATCTACAATGATGAGGAACCAGACGTACCGGCTAGTGAGATCGAAGCGGGCGCTCCGTAGGAGAAGACGTAAATTTTAAGCCTACAAAATTATTTTATTACATTGTCACAAAGTATCTAGATTTAGAATCGTAATTCCAAAACGACAGAATAGTAGCGATTGCGGAAATTTAGCGCGGAAAGGAAACCTTGTTCTGATTACAGCTGCATACATAAGGATGTGTTTTTACTGGTCCATTTCAGTGAGGGCTGCATATTTGCTTCGGCAGCTACTATTTTGTCAAATAAATCCCAAATTTCTCTGACACCAATGTATTCTTTGGCTCTGAAGTTGTGAAATTCCTCTACTTTCAAAATGATGGCAAAGGTAAGCTGTTTTTTTTTTAATTGTTTATCACGTCGTTCTCCGTTTTTCCATCGAGCCCGCAAAAACGCAAACCACAGACAAACAGACATAACACTCGCAAGTTGTTCATCGAACAAGCATTTAACGGACAATTTAAAAGTATCGTAGTTGGTAGTACCGCCATCTGTTCAGTGTACTGCCCACCGCAGTGTACTCATCAGATGGCGGTAAAGTTTTTTTATAATACGTTTATTTTTCCAGGCTCATTTGCTGCAGCTTTGCGGAGCCGATATTCATTGTTTAGATCACAAATTTACTTAAAACTAACGTTAGTAAAGCGGGGGCGAGTAATCGGCTATCTCGAGGTTAGGGGTAACAAATTGTAACAAATGGATTACAGGGTAGGGATTGTGAGCACAAGGTTTGGAGAGCAATGTGCTCTTGATCTTGGACTAAGCGATACTCTGATGAAAAAGACAAACATGGGGGTACACCGAGGGGCAGCTAACAACTTGGAGAGCACAAGATGACACTAACTACTAAATCCTCAGATCTATCCGTTTTAAAACACATAAATTGAATTCAAATAGTCGACATCTCGGTTCGCCAAGACATCTCTAACGGGTATCGCGGGTTGTTTTCCTCGGGCCCTGAGGAATGTGGATAAATCAGATCTGTCAACACGGTGTAAGGTACATGACCAAACAACATGCTCGATATCGTGATAACCACTGCCACACGCACATAAATTGCTGCCTGAGAGCCCAATTCGATAGAAGTGCGAGTCTAACGAGCAGTGATTGGACATAAGCCTTGATATAACGCGTAGAAAGTCGCGGCTCATGTCCAACCCTTTGAACCATGGTTTGTTCGACACCTGTGGGAGAATAGAATGTAACCATCTTCCCAATTCACCATCATTCCATTTTTGTTGCCAACTGATGAGGACTTGCTGACGAGCAACGGAGAAAAATTTGTTGAAGGCGATTTGTTGCTCAAAAATATCGCCTTCCATAGAGCCAACGAGTCCGCTTTCGAAAAACCCGGAATTGAGCAAAGAGATGGGACCCAAGCTAAGGTGATAGTATAGGAGCAGTTAGATAAAGCACTCAGTTTAGATCGTATTTAAGGCAGGAAATACTAGGAGTGCTTCATCGGCCTCATTGAACGAATAGCCTCCAATGAGCTAAGACTATCCGTAGAAATAATGGTCAGAAGGTAGTGAGGCAATTCGCTCTACTGCGTAAAATATAGCTGCATGTTCCGCAACGTATACGGAGCATGGTTTCTGCAGTTTATAGGAGGCGCTATGAAATTGATTAAATACACCAAATCCAGTGGAAGCATTTATGGTTGACCCATCTGTGAAAAATCTTTTATCGTTATGGTGATCTGGTATTCCATGGATCATGGTCAGATCAAAGTTTACAGAGGAACTATAGAAGGCTTGAAAGCAATCACGATTGGAGATTAATAAAGAAGGACCAACCTCCAGCGTCATGTACTCATAGTACAAACTTTAGAAAATTTAGAATTATAAATGAGAGATAAGAAGCAGAGACAAATGACATTTACTGCAGTGCAATAGGCGAGTATTTAACCGAGTTTCAACAGTAATCGATTTTCCCCTGCCACGACAAACACTTCGGAGACTCGGAGACGTTTCTCTTCATGTGTCTCTAAAAATGTAAATCGTCAATGATCATGTTGTAATGTTTTGAAGTTTTAATTTATGACTATAATTTTAAGTTTAACCATCATTGGAACCATATCGAGTCTGTTGATGTTGACGAATAAATAAATTAAAATGTTAAATTATATTTAATAAAATAGAAATAATAATAATCAAGGCCTCCCTTAGCTCAGTCGGTAAAGGCGCAGCTACAAAGCAAGACCATGCTGGAGGTGGCTGGGTTCAATTCCCGGTCCGGTCTAGGAATTTTTCGGGTTGGAAAATTTCTCGACTTCTCTGGGCATAGAAGTATGATTGGACTTGCCACACAATTATACAAATGCAAAAATGGTACAGGCATCGAAAGCTCTCAATTAATAACTGTGGAAGTGCACCTAGAACACTAAGTTGAGAGCACGCAATAAGCTAATATGCGATATGCAATAAGCTTGAAATGCGAAGAAGAAGCAGAATCAAGGCAAAAAAAGAATCATGTCGATGTCATGTGGTGCGAAGCTGACGTTTTGGCATCATCGCCATATCGGCGTCACACTAGTGGGCGCCCAGCCTTAGTGTAGAGCTCAAGCCAAACAAACTAAAGACTTTGGAAACGTGTTGGCAAAATCGAACCCATATAGAGTAGAGAACTACTTCAGCCTAAGCGCCCAGTTTGGGCGTATCAAGCAGAAAACATCATATTATAAATCTATGATTTCGGCGGTAACAGGTAAATTATGCGTTTGGTACGATACTTTAGTTGTTCAAATGCTACCAAACGAAGTCAATAAGAACGCGTGATATGAATGTTTGCATCCAATATTCTCAAATACAAATGAAGCGCTCCGACCGAATCATTCATCGAAGTAAATTCAATGCGTTAGGCCGAGTTTAGAATCCCTAGGCAGTGTTAGACTTTTAACAATATCTCAACAATTTGTTTCTTTTTATCAAATCTTACGGTACGGAAAGTAAATAAATTTGGAAGCCATCAGTAATAATAACATTCCGTTTAATGCTAAACTATGCTAGATAATAAAAAAAAAGACCAAGGGTGGGTTGTGCTTAATAGGCCGGAAATTGGGTAGTTAACCCTACTGTTTAGTCTACGTTAGTTTAGTTAACCCTACTGTTTAGTCTACGATACCCTGTTGGTATTAGTTCAAGGAAAAATTATACTCTCGGAGGAAGTCCGGAAAAAAATGCCACATATTCTTTCATTGGACGACATTTTAGGATTATAGTACGTTCAGACTACAGAGTTATAACATGTTATAGCGCTATCTTGATGGTGGTTTCTGTGTTGCAATTATTTGACAACCGTTATAACATGTTATAACTCTCCAGTCTGGACAGCGTTTTATAGTACGTTCAGACTACAGAGTTATAACATGTTATAACGCTATCTTGATGGTGGTTTCTGTGTTGCAATTAGTTGACAACCGTTATAACATGTTATAACTCTCCAGTCTGGACAGCGTTTTAGACTAGAAGATCTACAACGACCGCAACTTGTTTTCAATCTTCTTTATTTACCTCATTTTTATTTTCCATGAATTTGTGAAGATAAACACAAAGAGTTACATAAACGTTACACATATTGCTGAAATGAATGGAAAATAATCAGTTTTGTCTTCTTGTTGGCTACGAAATCGCCTATGTTTTCAAGTCCTAGAATCGGACCACTATTTCGGGGTTCTACTAGAATGTATAAAACTCTACGATCGTAAAAAAAAAGAATCAAACCCGAATGTTTACATAATTAAATGATTGATTGAATTGAATGTTTGCATTCACCATCGCTTAGACGGTATTCTTGAACCTTTCTAGCCGAAGGCGCGCACGCTCGGCATAGTCTGTCTTTGTGCTGCTGCTACTGATGGTTACCTTGCCCGTTGCCGTAAGATTTGGAGCTACTACTGTTGCTGCTGCTGCAGCCCCAGCTCCAAATCGCTCCTGACGTTTATGCAACTTTTCGTCTTGCTCCTGCTTAGTCACCTTGTCCGAAACGTTCACACCGAATCGCTCGGCTCGCTTTTTCAACGCATCTAGCGACACCAAAGTGCTGGCAGGTTTGCTGCTTCCACCACCGGCGGTGGAGTCACTGCCGGCCAGTCCGAACCGAGCGGCACGAGCTTGCAATTTTGAATCCGGCGTTTCCGCTGCCTGAGCGCCAAACTTCTTGGCACGCATCTCCAGCCGCTGTTGGGATGTCAGTTCTGTTAGTTTGATAACCTTCTTCTCCGGTTCCCCGGAGGCTGCTTCTGCGTCTGAGTGCTTTGCATCATCCAACGCTTCTTTGCTTTGCTTCTTTTCGTCGTCGGACACGGTTGCAGTGACAACTGTTGTCGCTGCCGGTGTTGAAACGGAAATCGATATGTTTCGCTTGAGGGCAACCTTCCTCTGAGGAACAGCAGATTGGTCTTCCTTCTTCTCCGATTCAAGTTCCTTGGCTACTGCTTCAGTTTTCTGCTCAGGCGATTCTGATTTCGAAGCTTCACTCGGAGTAGGAGATTTCAGTATTCGATCCTCTTCGGTTGCTTCATGATGTTGCTTCTCCTCCTCTTCCTCAAGGATGTCATCGTTCAGCTCATCGTCTTCCAGCAAATCCTCGGAATTAGCTGTATCTTCCAATGGATCCCCACCGTCTGAAATAGGTAAACACTTGCTAATGGATCAACTCGGTTGTAAACAATCCCATACCTATCAAAGCACTCTGTAGCCGATCCACAAGTTCATTTTTGTTTCCGAGAGTGCTGAGCCCACGATTCTTCAGCTCCTTCTTCAAATCTGCAACCTAAAAAAAGCAAGCGTTGAGAATTTGAATATTTTTAACAATAAAAAAAACCACTGGAAAAATACACCGCCAACCATAACCTGGTTAGATGCGTCGCCCATTTTTCTTTTCCATCTAGAAGTGGAAAATTAGAAAACAACGTACCTTCATTTTTGAAACATCCTGATCGCCCATCTTGCCGATAAAACGTTCCCAATACTCAGAGCACAACACAAAAGTATGGTTAACACTTGGAGCAGTATTTTTTGCCAAAAAAAATCCCGTAAAAGTTGTAAAACTGCTAAATTTTTGCGGCCGCAAAACAGGTCTCACGACAATGTTCACCGGAGTTGCAGTGTTGTTTATGTTTGACGTTTTTGAGTTTTTGACATCTCGCGATGAGCAAAGTGCACAGTTGATGAAAATGACTCAAAAATAATTAAGTCAGGGCCAGGGCGAATGAGAATAACTCAGAGCGAGAGTCACACCCAATAGGTCTGTGCCATAAAAAGGGAGAGAGTCACTTCGATACACGGTAACCAGCGTATACACATAAATGAGTAAAAAAATACACATTTTTTATATTTATCCAGTATTTTAAGAGCGCGAATGGCGGCTGATGAGTAGCATCCAATTGTGTGTAGCTTTTAAGTTTGACGTTTGGCTTGTGCCGTTTGACAGATGCCCTTCTATCACTATGTATGTTGACAAACATTACTTAAAATAAACAAACACCATGTCATCTTTAAAAACAAGCACATTATCGAGTGAAGATCTAGAACGGTACACAGCAAAACAAGTTGTTGAATATTACATCCAAACTGCTGCAACCAGGTCAATCCATCGGTTGTGTAATATCACATTGTACGATGTACATCGATTTTGCGAACAAAATTACATCCATTGATGTAATATTGTATCTGCTTTTTGCTATTACATCATTATTTCATACATCAGCTTGAATTACATTGATCGATATTACATTTTTTTTTTTTGCTGTGTATAAAGAAAAGATTGCAGTTGTTGGTGGGAAAGATCCATACACGTATCATATGGTTTTGGTCTATCTGCTAAATACGTTATCATTTCGTACCGGAGAACCAGTACCCTAATAAAAAATAACCATTATCGAACGATAGCCCAAATCATTGAACTATTCCACAAATGGTTTGGATGATACCCAGAACACGTCGTTAAGCAAATTAACCATACAATTTTTATTAGGGTAAGCAACCACAAATCACTAGAAGCTTCCAAAAGTTTTGAGAGAGGATTCGTGAAAGAAGTGCAGGGTCACAAATGTGGGAATATTTTCGCGGTGTTTGGAAAGGTAATAAGCATTTTATAGGCGTTTATTCTATTGGACTAATATTTACCTCGATATTTACTATGTCTTGCAGGTTATACATAGCATGAGACTTAATGATCCACCAACCGAATGTTGGATATTAATACAAGCTATTAAGTCAGCCGACAAAGAGTTTGGAGAGATCCACTCAGCTCATTGTGATTATACTGCAGGTGCTGGAGAAAGATGCTCACACGTTGCAGCAGTGCTGTACGCTTTGTGTTACGCAAGAGAAACTTGTTTAGATAAATAGGGAAAAAAACTACAAGATGGTCCTCTAATTATAGTTCTCCGGTAACAATAATTATATTTACAGATTTCTGTAACTGAACTCCCCGCCTATTGGAGTCAGCCATCGGGCAGCGCACAAGAAAACTTGTATAAACATGTGGAAGATTAACTTCGGACGAGTTGTAGAAACTAGTTGTGAACTTCGTGATTACAATCTAGAGAAGGCTGAGAGTGAATTGAAGAAACTTATAAGTGATCTAACAAGATCTGGTCAAGACGTCGCAGCTAGTAAAGCCTTTTTCCAGCCTTTTCCATCAAAAGTACTTAAATCAAAGCACACAGTTTGCTGCCGTTTCTTCCTTCCCAATGCAAGTTTCAGTCGCTCTATCTCTGCATCTTTGTTTGCTATTTGCTGTTCTAATGTCTCGTTGCTATCTGCTGAATCCATGTCCTTGACATCATACTGTGTACACACTCATTTTTTATTGCTGGAAACCAGCAAAATTTTGCTGGATTTTGCCGAGCTGGAAGCTCAGCAATCCTTCCAGCAAAATATTTTTGCTGGATGACCAGCAATTTGGGTCGAAGTCAAACTGACAACACATTACTGAAAAATCAGCAATCTTTACTGAATGTACAGCAAAGTTGAATAACAACCTTTTTGCTGGAATTTCAGCTAGTTTAATGTACCTATTGTCTTTTCATATTAACAGCAAATAAATAGATTACAGAATTGCATACACTTGATAACATTAATTTATTACACCGTTATGTTGATTACATATTCCTTTTAACGCTGATTATGAACCATCCATCATAAATACGGTTATTTATGAAAGGCAGACAGGACGTAACTATAAGCTGGTTGAACAATTGATTTTTAATCGTAGAGGCTGAAAAGAATAGGGAGTTGTTATTTTTCACGAAACACAAAGATTTTTATATTTATTCAATGGTTTAATAAATATTTACCTGCATTTTCTTAAATTTATATGTATATTCATGTTTCCCTCGTTGATGTATTGAGCAGCGTACATTTGACATATTTCCAGGTGTTCCAGGTGTGCAGTATCTTGCGTGCTAACTTCCATATCATCATCCAACCATTCCTCAGTCGTATATTCAAAATCCGCATCATCCTCCAACCACTCTTCCAACCAGGCTAAGATCTAGGGTACACAGTAATATTCATCTGTTAGCATAAACAACATAGCATCCTCCAACCACTCTTCCAACCAGGCTTGCAATTGCTCATTACAGCTAAAATGCTATTTTTTCGTAATTATGAAACAATGAGATACTATAATGATAATTTGTATTTGTAAGATGCAATAAGAGGTGGTAAAGTTTGTGTATGACTTATAAAATTTGTCAATTTTGCTTTCAGAAGGTCACAACTAGCGATTTTATGATCGCTGATTGCTCGCTCATCGCGTTGCTCATCGTTACAGCTAATCGCTAGTTGTGACCTTCTGAAAGCAAAATTGACAAATTTTATATGTCATACACAAACCACAGATAAACAGATATAACACTTAGAAGAAAATTCTTCAAAAAATATCGTCAAGCGTATTTTGCATGCACACTAGCACCACAAACAAAGTGACAGACGGAGCGGCTCGAAAACTTTGGTGACTAACCTGCTATTGCAATTTTTCAGTGTACCACATGGCAACACCACTACTACTGGATTGTACCACATGGCAACACTACTACTAGATTGAACTAGCATTTTTACCAAATGTACTAGAATGTTTTGGTTCTATCTCTTTCACTCTACTCAAAACTGAAATGCATAAAAAAATGACAAAATGATACGCACTCTTTGCACACTGTCAAAGAATCATTGTACACAAAATCAACTTTGTTCAAATCAAAACAAAAAAACTAACCCATGTGGTGGATGATGGCACAAGCTTCCAAGAAAATTCTATTACAGTGAACCACATTATTTAAATGGATTTCTTCGCCAGTTAGTCGTCTGTCACTTCGTTTGTGCTAGCACCATCTATCATCCACATTCCCAAGCATTGTTTTGCAACCGGAACATCCCTCGTTAATGCATTTTTTTCACGAGTTGCTTTTCTCTTGTTATGTCAACGCGTCAGCTGTGTTGAATAAAAACAAAACAGATGGAAGTCAGTGATGTCGGTTCTAACTGGTAAAAATTGATGAATCAACATGATTTGTTCTTGAATTTTGTGTACATCGTTCAATGTAATATTAGAAACGGAATGACTAATGTGCAGCAGTTTTGATGTAATATTCAACAACTTTTTTTTGTATTCCGCAGATGTGGTATGTGTCTCCAGTGGGATGCCTTGACCACTTATCATTTTCAAGAGCTGACATCCACTAACTAGACGTGATAAAGAACTGGCATCACTGATAAGTTCGAAATGTGGTGGCTTGCTCAATGCTTCAGTGGCGCCACCTTGACAAATGCAAGCACATTCCCAACTAAAACATTATTTGAGATGAATGTGATTGTGAGTGTTATGTCTGTTTGTCTGTGCACAAACTTTACCACCTCTTCTTGCGTCTTACAAATAAAAATTATCATTATAGTATCTCATTGTTTCATAATTACGAAAAATAGCATTCTAGCTGTAATGAGCAATTGCAAGCCTGCTTCCAACATTGCATCCAACACTTCTTCTTATTCTTCTTCTTCTTCAAAAACTGCATCATTTTGTGTATCGTCGTCGTTTTCATAACCACTCACGTTCCATTCTAGTAGCACCGAGTTGCTCAGGTCTGTACATTGAAGGTCAAATGTCCTTTCATCTTCTTCGTAGACAAGGAACTGGTCCATCATTTCAGCATCTGCAATAAGTAATATGTAGTATTTTTTTAAAGTGGTAAGCTACAACCGGTAAAACAAAATAAACAAACCTTCCGGAAAATATTGGTTTGCTTTAATCTCCGTGTCACTTGGTAGCTGTCCATAATCACTATAATCGAAGACGAATTCATCGTTTTCATGATCGTTTTCGTTCAAGAATAAAGTTGAAATCCAGTTCACCTTCTTGCATTCATTGAATAACGCGGGTTTCCATGGAATTGATCATTATTCAAAGGTGCGAATTCAAATATTAAAATCAGTAACTCAGACAGTTTTTAAACTTATTTACCTGTTTCAAAATGTTTACTACACACTTTGGCATACTGGTAATTTATGTCGGTGCGGCCGATAGAATTGATCCACAATTGGCGTCTTCGTACCTGATGTGCACTGGTCCTTCCAGAAGGAATCTGGTGGAGGGAAAATCCGCTATCGGATTTCGATTCGCAGTTCGTGATGCAACAACCATGTACCATTTTGAATCGAGTATCGATTCTCAAGTAAACAAGCTGACCTCAAATAAACACGAGAGCTGGTTTGACAAGCACCTGCCAAACGACACAAGCCAAACGCCAAACGTAAAAGCTACCCACTTGTGGGTACTACCCACTACCCCCGGCATGAGCGCTCGTAAAAAGCTGGATATGCAGTTGTCAAAAAATGTGTAAATATGGAGATCCTAAAATGTGTAAAAAAAATACACATTTTAAGTATGCAGTACCAGTCAAAAAATGTGTATTTTTTTACTCATTAATGGGTAAAAAAAAAACTTCAAACTTTGCTGCATCCTGCTTTGTTGACGCACGCCATTTGCTAAATTTTCAGTGAAAAACAGCAGGAAAATGGAGAGTGCGCAACGATGGACATGCTAGAGGGTAGGTGATTTATACTTTTTTCATAGCTTTTAGTTTTAGTTTAGTTTATATACTTCATATATTGATTTTTGTTTTTCTTCCCTTGATTTTTTTTGCGTGCTGAGCACCAATGCTACCGACGCCAGGGAGGAAGCTCCCATACCTGGACCCTACCTATCGACCCATCAACTCATGAACCGGAGACCAATGGCTTCACTTCCCTTCCGAAGGAAGGCGTGATCCTCGGCGCGATCAGAGATGTTATGCCTTAGAACATCCCGGCAGCGTCGAGTTTGATTGAACCCAGGCCTGCTGGGGTGAGAGGAAATCACGCTTACCACTACACCTCCGGTGCCGCTACTTATTACTGTTGATGGCATTTCTTTTTTTAATAAAATATATACAATAATCGAGCAATCTTTATTTTACCATTGACACAAATAAGAAAATTCCGAAGTTAATAAAAAACCATGCGCACCCATTATATTTAAGTTTTAGAAATGATTAATTTTTACGCTAGGAATAATAATTAATAATAAGATTCTTTTGCATTGGTCGCGTCTACCCTGACCGTACCCTACACGGTAAGAAAAAAGTACCCAACGGCCAGTTCACTTTTACCTACTTTTGACTAGTTTGTCTCCTTTTCTCCTTCTAATGTTGTCAAAAACGGAGGAGCAAAACCACCCAACAGGGGTAGTAACGTGTGGGAACCCAACGTTGAGTATAATAATATTTACCTACTGTTGGGTACAACTAACTTACTTTTGCGTTGAAAGCTAGTGGAAAATTCCATACGAATTGCACACAAGTAAATGAAAACTACCTTGACCCGCTTTACCTATTTTTGGGTTCCTGCACTATAGTGCCGAGATGAGTGAAAAGAACTTACTTTTGGGTACTTTTTTCTAACCGTGTAAGAGCCTAACCACACAGCACACAGAAAAAAAGTTGATAGATATTACATTTTTTGCTGTGCATGAAAAATGTTATTCAACAACTTTTTTTCTGAGCATAGAGATTGCTAAAGTATGATTGCGTCAGTGATTTGTTTTCATCGGGAAAATTTTTCGCTATGAAGTTTTTTTCCCGATGAAAACATTTCGCGTATACGTATACGTGACGTAGTGTGCGTACGATAAACGTCAGCAATCTCTATGGAGTGAGACAAAGAGGTGACTGCCTACCCGAAAAAAAATACAGTGAAATTTTCAGTGGAAACAATGTTCTAACATTAATATTTATTGTCGACAATAAAAATGATTGTTATAATGTTTTACCACAGACAAACAGACATAACACTCGCAAGTTGTTCATCGAACAAGCATTTAACGGTCAATTCAAAAGTATCGTAGTTGGTAGTACCGCCACCTGTGGCGCGCATAGTCAATTCCCTTGCGTTTGACGTTTACACACTACCGCCATCTGTTCAGCATACTACCCACCACAGTGTACTCAACAGATGGCGGTAATGTTTTAGTGACGATGTTTTACATTGAGAAATATTCAATGTGTTCAGCAATCACTCACAAAACCACTGTACGATACACGCAAGTACACGCAAGTAGTGACGTCACTACTTGCGTTTACGTTGATTTTTTGGTTTACTAATACAACCCTATTTCACGATCTGCGTAACCTCTCTATGTACTCATTGATATGATGCGCCTGGTTGTATTGGTTTCATGTCTGGTTGTATTGGTGCGATATGTGAGAGCGGTTAGTGAAAAAATCCAAGGAAAATCAGGAAAATACATAACAAATCACTGTCAATCTATTTTTGACAGATCGAATTTCATACAATCCTCGCGTAACTTTTCAAAAGGTCCTAAGTAACAAAAAATGTAAACAAATCGAGTTAATCGATACCTCGATCGATACAAACTATTGCTCTTCTATCATTGTATTGCCGCGAATACACTTGTATGACAAACTATGAACATGACCTAGAACATGACCATTATTTTTATAATAAATAATGAGCACTCGTGACAATCGATTTCACTCTCGTTTTGTACACAGCAAAAAAAAATGTAATATCGATCAACGTTATTCAAGCTGATGTATGAAATAATGATGTAATAGAAAAAAGCAGATACAATATTACATCAATGGATGTAATTTTGTTCGCAAAATCGATGTACATCGTACAATGTGATATTACACAACCGATGAATTGACCTGGTTGCAGCAGTTTCGATGTAATATTCAACAACTTTTTTTGCTGTGTACGTTCAACATAATGTCGAATCTAGTGTACTGTATTCGTTGAATAATGCGCTTTAATGCAGAACTAGAATAAAATCGATTGTCACGAATAGGTTATATCGGTCTACAACTCTAGCGACAATATACAGTGAAAAGGAAGTGATACGCATAATGAGCGCCATGATTGCCATACAAATGAAATGGGAATCACAGTTGTGACGACAAGTCTTCAAATTTTACATTTCCTTAAATTCAAGCAATTCCTCGAGCAAATTTCCTCCCGATTAAAAAATGTTCAAATTTTAAGCCATGCTCGCAGCACAGTTCGACGGATGATGATATTAGCACAGACAAACAGACATAACACATTGAATATTTCTCACTGTAAAACATCGTCGCTAAAACATTACCGCCATCTGTTGAGTACACTCTGGTTGGCACTACACTGAACAGATGGCGGCAGTGTGTAAACGTCAAACGCAAGGGAATTGACTATGCGCGCCACAGGTGGCGGTACTACCAACTATGATACTTTTAAATTGTCCGTTAAATGCTTGTTATGTCTGTTTGTCTGTGATATTAGCTTGTGCCTGAATTAACAGATTCAATGGAAGATGTATTTGCATTTGCATTAATTTTCTGATGTTACGCGTGAATTGTTCGATTATTTCAATATTTCTTTCAAACTTAATATTATTATACTAATAATAATTAACAGATTTAAGGCAGAGTTCATTAACAAAAAAAATTATAATCAGGTTTTGGTTGCAGACACTAAGATGATACAAACCAATTGTGTGCTTTTATTTGTATTATCGCCATCATATGATCACATCCGTATTCAGAATTGACGTGATAGCACTTATGAAATTCGCCTCTCTTATTCGTCTTTCCATGGGTCAACTAAACTAAAATACTACGGGCAGAACTCCAAATCGATAGGAAACGATGAGTCCCATGTGTACAGGACACGAAATGATCGTTACCGATCAACTTGACACACTCAAGTTATCCGTGCCGGGAAGACAATTGCATACTAGCTGCGATTTTTTCCCGGAAGTAGAGCAGCGTGTGAATGTCCAGCTCCAGTGTCCGTTCAGCTCTTTCTCTTAGGGGTTGTTCATAAACTACGTAGACAGTTTAGGGGGGGGGGGGGGGGGAGTAGACAATTATGTACGGCCCATACACATTTAAACAATTTTGTATGGACAATTGTCTACGCTGGTGAAGGGGGGGTAAATAATCCAGTCAAACACAGACACATCGGTGACTGCCCGGATAAAAATAAACCATTGCTTTTATGGTATAAACCATTGGTATACTGTAGACTATATAAGATACAATGAGATATATTGTATTTGAATGACAAGACAACATGTTTCCGTATTGTAACTACCACACATAAAGATCATAATCTTATGTAACAATACAATGATTTGTTATTCTTATGTTTGAACCTTTCTTAACTTAAGAAGCTCCACCATTTTACTGCAGTATTCCATGCATTAAAGACGTGTTTTGTATTACTTTCTTGGTCGATTTTACATAATGGCACCGAAAATTGAAACTTCTGTGAAAAATCGTAAACAATATGTTCTATGATTATTGTATTGTTGTTGACACTACAATTTACAGTAAATACAATCAATTTTTTTTTTTTTATTATAGTCACTTTAACACTCTTGGGTCATTCGTGACTTGTCCGGGGGTGAGATTTGAACTCGTCACTTTAGCGTGAGAGGTATGGATGTTAACCACTACGCCGGGGTCGCCGCCTACAATCAATTATATTGTATGGTACAATACATTTTACTGTATCTTTATGGTTCTTGTTTTACCCTTGCATGTTCAAATTTTTCACCCGTGCATAGGTCCATAGCTATTTTTCTCTTTTCCTCAGAAAATTATCCAGCCTGAAAATAATAAACAACAAATTTTACCGTCGTTGCATTGTAAAACAATACAAAATTGAATGGTGAAACCATTATCATACCATTCAATCAATCGTTAAATCAGCGATTTAGTCACTTTTCAAAATAGTACACACAAAAAATTATTATTGCTTAAATTAAAAGAAACGTTGGTAGATTTAAAAATTGGCGTTGGTTCTTTTTGGTAGAAAGCGGATAGCTTTCAAACCAACAGTCAGCCAACTGTCAAATCAAAAGTAGTCCACTTGCTGCTTTTAAAAGTTTTAACTTCAAAATTAATTGTACTACTGTCAAATGAAAAACATGACAGTGTTGAAAATAAAAGTGAATTATGTTTGTTTCGAAACAAGCTTTTGTCATGAAAGTTTAACATAATTGAAATGAAATGAGCTGATTTTAATTAAAAAACAAATACTATCGATTCAAATAAAAGCATTTTCTAAATAACAATATATTTTTCATTTTAAATTCTAATAACTATACCACA